CCCCAAAACCCCAAAACCCCAAAACCCCATAGAGCCAATAGGATATTAAATACAAGTAACAAAATGTTTGAATAATTAATATTTTAAATGGAATAAAAGAAAAAGGATTTGAACAGTTAGTCTCAGCGAGATATAACGCAATCATAGCTTCTGAGTAACAAAGAAGCCCTAGAGTTATAGTAAAAAGTTTTAGCTTCCAGACTATATGCCAAATATTCTGATACGGGGCATATTATCCCAAACAAGGTATAAAAATCCTAAATATATGCTCGCGCTGTTGCAGTTGCATTCATTATTTTATCTTTGAATTTATGTTTATCTTTTTGAGTAGTTAGTTGGACCACCTCAGCCAAGCGGATCTTCAATATTAGGCACCTAACGTCGAAGTGTTCAAATGGATGAGACCATGCCAATCAGTAAGAAGTCAGCTTCTCAAGCTAGAATTAAGAGGCCAGATGATTTAATCAGTCCTAGCACGAATGATCTTCGGAAAAATTCATAAATGAGAGCCAAACTACCAAAGATTCATAGTAAAAAGCACATTGATATCAGCTAAACTCCACTTCCCACTCTTCCTTTCCCAAGAGTATTAGGGAAAGACATCATCTCTCCATTCCCTGGAAGTCAAGATCATTAAGCACTCAAGAGAATTATCGCCTAGCATTAAGCTTAAGCTTAAGCTCTAGCTGAAAGTCAAAACATGACCGCATCGACATCTCAATAGATATTACATTCATATAGAAATGCAGGTCACGCTCCTTTATTAGGCTAATCTTAATCATAACTTACTTTGAAAATCGGTATGGCTAACCAAAACAGCCAGACTCTTATGCATAATCAGTCAACTCTATCTCTGATATCTCCAGCTGATAAGACTCTAGCCATTCTTGAGTCGCATAATAGAAGAAATAACCGCACATCACTTACTCACCACCAGTCATTCCAGTAACTGCTTCCATTGGATTAGTCCAAGATTCTCAATAGTACTCTTGAAGGGCAAGGCTAGTAACTTCATCACGATTAAAGTCAAACCAATGTCTCAGCTCTCATCCTAAAGAATGTTCCCCTTCCTAACTACGAGTAAAACAAACAAATCATGACAATTGATCCAGCAAAAATCAAGCCAAAGCCCACATCTGATATTAAGAAGTTTATGGTAAGACAAGGAATGAAACCGTCTCCCTTAGAATTCATCAAGCTAGTACAACTAGACCCAGAGTTTTAAAGCAGATTCTGCTATTGCAACAGAAGGGAAGACTACTATGATTTTGAAATAGTGCCCTTCAGTGACAAAAATGAGGCAGAGTACATGACTGTGAGTTCTCGCGGAGTAGTTCACTTTATCAAAGGAGAAGCCAATTTCATGTCGATTCCTGAATGGGAACGAGAGCAAAGAATCTATAAAAAGATCTAGAATATCCCCTTCTTTATGAAATATCGCACTTGGAAAACTTTCTCAGCCTGGAAGACTCTCATGAGAAGAACCATGATCTTCAAGACTAGTGATTTCCTCAACAGAGAGCTCTTCATTCTAGACTCAGAACTTAGCAAGCCCCTCCTAGACATCAGAATGAAAACCTTTAACATTCAGAAGATGCAAATGGTAGCAATGAACACTGACAAGCCCAGAAACATGCAGGAGTTCTTTGAGTTCCAAGACAAGCAAAGAAAGAGTGTCTCAGAGACCCTAAATAAAATCGAAAAAGAGATAAAGAACATTTTGATCGAGTCTTGCGACAGCTCAATGAGAACTTTCCGAGAGGAGAACAGAATATCACTAAATGACAACCAAGAGGACGATGACAATGAGGAAGCTGAGCCATTCCTTGTTGGAGATGAAACACATAAGCAAATGCCTTACACTCAAGAGGCTACTACCAGAACTCACTACAAGAAACTCGCAAAGTATATTAGACTTACTGATTATATGATAATTGACTCAAAACTCAGATTGATACAAAACTCTATATCGAATGTACTCAAGATAGTGCAATTAGATCTTGCTGGCAATAGAAAATACATGGTTGGTGATAAGATTCAATAAGTGCCACTATTTGAAATTACTGTAGATTTCAGTGGATTTGATATCTACTTCACGCCTAATAAATTTGATGTTCGTGATGCTATCAAAAATTCCATAACTGAAGGTGTAAACACTGTGTGCAGATATGAGCTATTCATCAATCAGGCAGAATTTGAGACCTACATCAATGTTTAGGAGCAAGAGGATCACTTATTCGATGAGCAGAATGACTTGATGTCATTGGCAATTGGTTCAGAGATGCTGATAAGAGACACAGAAAACATCTCACTAGCAATTGACGGAGTGTTTGAGGAAGTGAAAGACCACTCCAGAAAGTATGACTACTTCGTCCAGATCTACAATGAAAACATCACGATGCAAGTAGATGACTTCAGGAACAAGGACCACGAGTACATGAATAACACTATCAACAAACTCATTTCACAACAAGAAGAGATCGAGATCTTAGATATGAGAGTTAGCATCAAGATTGTCAGACTTGACGGTGAGAAGATGAAGAAGAGAATCAAGGAAAGCCCCAAGCAGTGCTGGAAGATGCTCCAAGATTTCATTCCCAAGTTCTAACTAGAAAAAGCTGAGTAACTTTGTGAGATTTTGAAAGTAGAGTATGAGAAAGTTTCCAGAAAGCCTCAGTCAATTGATCAGTTTGTGGTTATAATGAACGACCTTAATGAGCTTAACACAAGAGTCGACAACTTGTCCTCAATGTTCTAGGAACTTGAAGTCTACGGCATTCTGATGGAGAACCACAAAATCAAGTTGCCAGACAAGAACAAGGCAAAGCAAAAGGAAGCCTATCAACTGTTAACTAACACCAGAAAGAAGCTAGAGGAAGGACTTGAAGCTGGTGAAGTCGAGGAACTTAAATTCAAAAAGCAACTGATTGACGTTGAAATCCCCAGACTCAACAAATAATGCAAAGAAATCATGGAAACTCTGTCCGATCCTATGTTTGCCGATGTTAACACTTCGTATGATGACGCTGTAAGGAAACTTGAATCAGTTGGTGAAACTGTCAACTAGATCAAGGAGAGAGGCAAACAATTGAACCAGTATTAAAAGTTCCTTGAACTCGAGGAAACTCCTTTTGAATCAGTGAATGATGCTTTTGGCGACTGGAATCTCAAGTATAAGATGTGGAAGGGACTTGACGATTGGGTATATCTCTCAAGAGACTGGATTAACACTAAGTTCTAAGCTATCGATGTTGAAAACATTCAGAAGTAAGTAGATCACTATGACAAGGCAGCAAGAGTTTGTTCAATTGGCCTGAGGGACAACCCAGTTACCTAGATATTCCTTGATAAAGTAGAGGTTCTAAAATCAACCATGCCAGTAGTAAGCTACCTCAGATCAGATCTTTAACCAAGACATTGGACTGAAATCTATGAGATCATCGGTATGGAGCTAGACCTAAACAATGATGAGTTCACACTAAAATCTCTTATCGAGCTTAATGTCAAGTAAGAGAAAGATAAGATTGGTGAAATAGCCCAAAAAGCAGTCAAGGAAAAGGAACTTGAAGCTTCTTATGAAAAGGTCTATTCTGAGTGGAAAAAAGCTGCCTTTGAGACAAAGAATCACAAGGATTCTTACTATATTTTGGGGAGCACTGAAGACATCAACAATCTGCTTGAAGAATCTATGGTGACTCTCTCTAATATCTTGGGCGCTAGATTCGTTGATATCATTCGTAACGAGGTCGAGGTTCTCTATAAGAAACTGAATTACATTGAAAACTTGATGAATGAATGGCAAACTTTCCAAAGAACTTGGATGTATTTAGAGAATATCTTTAATGGTTCAGATATTGCTTAGAAGATGGGTCAGGATGCCAAGAAATTTACCTAAGTAGACTAGCAATGGAAGGAGATCATGAAGGCAACTCATAGCAACCCACTGGTGTTTAGATTCCTGTAAAACTACAAAGATGGCAATCAGTATTTGGATGTGTTTAAAAACAACAACAAGATTCTTGATGACATTCAGAAGAGTTTAGAGGTCTTGCTTGAAAAGAAGAGACAAGAGTTCCCCAGATTCTATTTCCTTTCTAATGATGAGCTTCTAAGTATTCTTGCCGAAGCAAGTAGAGACCCATAATGTGTGCAACAGCATCTAAGAAAACTATTTGAAAACATAAATAGCATCACTTTCGAGCTAGATGAAATCACTAAGATTGTTTCTGCTGAGAAGGAAGTGATTAAGATCAAGAAAGTTAAGACTGGTTCAAACAACTCAGTTGAGAAGTGGCTGATGACTCTGCAGGAGAACATGATGTTCGCAGTAAAGAAATTCATCAAAGAAGCTCACAACGCTTTCAGGGAGGAAGAGGAGTTTAAGAGACACAACTGGGTCATGGAAGACCATCCAGCTCAAGCTATTTGCGTGGTAGCTTCTATCAATTGGTGTGGAAACACAGAGAACTTCCTAAAGGATGAGGACGATGTAAGGGAAGGTCTTGAATGGTGGTATCAGGAGAATATCAAGTAGCTTGAAGAGCTAACTAAGATAGTCTCAAAGCCAGACCTAGATTCAAGAAAAAGAAAGGCTGTTGTAGCACTAATCACACAAGATGTCCACTACAGAGATATAGTCGAAGAACTTATCAAAGAAGAAGTTGAAAGCCAACATGACTTCAAGTGGCAACAACAATTAAGATACTACTATTAAAATGAAGAGATTGCTATCAAGTAAGTCAATGCTTAACTTGACTACGGATATGAGTACCTTGGAGCCCACACTCGTTTGGTTATTACACCTTTGACAGATAGATGTTGGATGACTATCACAGGTTCCCTCCATATCAAACTTGGAGCAGCTCCAGCTGGTCCTGCTGGTACTGGTAAAACTGAGAGTACCAAGGATTTGGCAAAGGGTCTTGGTAAATATTGCGTAGTGTTCAATTGCTCTGACCAAATCAACTACAAGATGATGGAGTAGCTCTTCTCAGGTCTAGCAACAACTGGCTCCTGGGCTTGTTTAGACGAGTTCAATAGAATCGACATTGAAGTACTTTCAGTTATTGCTCAGCAAATCCTCACCATCAGAAATGCAATGCTACAAGAAAGAAAAGAGTTCCAACTTGGTGATAGACAAATTAACAACTTCATTCCTACAATGGGTATATTTATTACTATGAATCCTGGCTACAAAGGAAGAACTGAACTCCCAGACAATCTCAAGGTACTTTTCAGACCAGTGTCTATGATGATCCCAGATTACGCCTTGATTGCTGAAATCATGCTTTTCGCTGAAGGATTCTCACAAGCCAAACCTCTATCTAGAAAAATGACTAAGCTCTATAAATTGGCTTCAGAGTAACTCTCTCAATAGCCTCATTATGACTTTGGAATGAGAGCTGTCAAGTCAGTCTTGGTAATGGCTGGTCAGGTCAAGAGAACCTTCCCTAAAATGCCAGAGGATATCGTGCTTATTAGAGCGATGAGAGATTCAAATATCCCTAAGTTTATCAAAGAAGATCTTCCACTCTTCAATGCCATAGTTAGAGATCTATTCCCTAATACACAACTTCCAGAAGCTCAGTATGATCTACTTATTGATGCAATAAAGCAGAGCTAGGTTGAAGAGGGACTTACCCCAGATGACGACTAGACTGAGAAAGTTATTCAGTTCTATGAGACCATGAATGTAAGATTCGGTCTTATGATAATCGGTTAAACTCTCACAGGAAAGACAACCATAATCAGGACTTTAAAGAAAGCTATGAATCTCATTAAGAAAAATGGACACGTAGGAGACGAGTACAAACCAGTTGAAAGTGAAACTCTCAATCCTAAATCTATCTCATTAGACGAACTTTATGGTTCCTTTTCCCACTTAACTCAAGAATGGACAGATGGTCTGGCCTCTTAATTAATCAGAGGATTCGTGGAGAAGCAAAATGAGGATATGAAGTGGGTTATCTTTGATGGTCCAGTAGATGCTATTTGGATTGAAAACATGAACACTGTCCTTGATGATAACATGACGCTATGTCTGTCTTGTGGAGAGAGAATCAGACTAAGACCTGAAATGAGAATGATATTCGAGGTTGATGATCTATCACAGGCTTCACCAGCAACAGTATCCAGATGTGGTATGGTGTATGCCAGTCCTCAGACACTCTCATGGAAGCCAATTGTACAATCTTGGATTAAGTAAATTCCAGAGAATCTCCTCGAAGACCCTCACAGGGTTCAACTACAATGGCTGTTTGATACTCACATTGATAACACTATTGAATTAGTAAGAGGCAAAGGTTTCAAAGAGCCAATCCCAACTGTTGACAACAATTTCATTATTTCTATGTGTAGACTCTACCAATCAATTCTTGAGCATGTAATTGATATCAAGAAGTATTAAGGAGAGAGGCAAAAGAAAGCCATAGTAAAGATTTTCATCTATTCGTTAGCCTGGTCATTTGGAGGAAGCATCGACTCCACTCATTATTCATCCTTCGAAGTTTACCTTGGAACAGCATTCAACATGAGTGACTTGCCAAAGACTTCAATCTTTGATAACTAGCTAGTGTAAGGCCCTGAAATTCTAGATTATGCAACTTGGACTCAGAACTTGCCTAAGTTTGAGTACTCAAATGAAAAGAGTTTCTTCGAACTTGTGGTCCCAACCAAAGATACTGTTAGATTCTCTTGGCTACTTAAACAATCAGTAATCAATGGAAACCCAGTATTCTTCACAGGTATAACTGGAGTTGGTAAATCTATTATCATGAATTCAACAATTGCTGAAATGAAAAAGAAACAAAACACCGAAGCAATTATCCTATCATTCTCCTCTCAAACTTCATCCAAAGAAACTCAAAACCAGATAGAAGATAAACTTGAAAAGAGAAGAAGAAATTTGCTCGCTGGTCCAAATGGAAGGAAAGTCATCCTATTCATTGACGATGTCAATATGCCAGCTTATGATGACTATGGCACACAGATGCCTATTGAGCTACTCAGATAATATGTTGACTTTAAGGGTCTCTATGACAGAGAAGGTTTATTCTGGAAAAAGATCCAAGATACAACTCTAGTTTGTGCTGCAGCTCCACCCGAAGGAGGACGTAAAGTTCTCTCTAAAAGATTCACCAGACATTTCCACATGATTTGCCTTCCACCTACTTAGGAAGAATCCCTTCAAATGATTTTCTTGTCAATTATCGATGGGTTCTTCAAGTAATTCAAGAAGGAAGTTCAAATGCTTGCCAAGCCAATGGTGGACTCAACATTGCAGATATTCAACAAGATTACCAAAGCACTCAGGCCTACTCCTGCTAAATCTCACTATACTTTCAATCTCAGAGATATTTCAAAGATATTCTAAGGAGTATGTATGGCAAAGACTCAGACTCTGAATAGAAGCGATAAAATGGTCAAATTGTGGATCCACGAAGCATCCAGAGTTTTCTATGACAGATTAGTTTCTGCTGATGATAAGAAATGGTTTACTGAGTTAGTTATTGAGCTCATTAAGGGTGCCTTCAGAGTAGACTGGACTCATGCCGACCTATTTGAAAGCAGGCCTCTTATCTTTGGAGACTTTATGAAGAGAGGTATTCCATTCGAAGAAAGATAATACGATGAAGTAAAGGATATTGCCACAATGAGTAATGTTATCATGGACTACCAAGAAGAGTATAACATAGATCATTTGAACAAATTCGATCTTGTTCTATTCCCAGAATGCCTCCAGCATATCTCCAGAATCTGTAGAATTTTGAGACAGCCTAGAGGAAATGCTCTTCTAGTTGGAGTAGGAGGAAGTGGAAAGCAAACCTTAACCAGATTGTCAGCCTTCATTGCTGATTGCCAGTTCTCCACCTTGGAGGTTAAGAAAAACTTTAACCAAAATGACTTCAGAGATAATCTAAAGAAAGCTATGTTGCCCTGTGGCATCAAGGGAGAGAGAACTACTTTCCTGATTAATGATAACTAAATCACCAATGAAAGTTTCCTTGAGGATGTCAACAACTTGCTTAACTCAGGTGAAATTCCCAACCTATGGCTCCCAGAAGATAAAGATCAAATCACAAATGAACTTCGTAAGGCAGCTGCAGAGAAAGGTATATATGAAGGACTATATCAATTCTTCTTGCAAAGAATGCGTGATAATCTACACATTGTACTTTGTCTATCTCCAGTAGGTGAGTCTTTCAGAATGAGAATCAGAATGTTCCCTTCACTTGTGAACTGTTGTGCCATTAACTGGATCAATGCTTGGCCAGAAGAAGCACTTCTTAGCGTCAGTTCTAGGTTTATTCAGAAAATAGACCACATCAAGGAGACTCAGTTGAAGAACAAGATTGCTCAAATGTGCGTCTTTGTGCATCAGTCAGTTGATGAAGAGTCTAATGTCTTCTACGAGTCACTCAAGAGAAAAGTCTACATCACTCCCAAGAGTTATCTTGACCTCATCAAGTCTTATCAGATATTCCTTCAAGAAAAGAATCAGCAACTCTCCGAAAGAAGAAACACTTTATTTACTGGTCTCTCTAAATTGCAAGAGACTAATAAAGAAGTCAACAAGTTATCTACGGAACTAGTTACACTTCAACCAAACTTAGAAATCTCAGTTACAGAAGCAGAGCAAATGTCTAAGAAACTAGAAAAAGATAAGGTCGAAGCTAACAAAAAGAAGATGGTAGTTGAAGAAGAGAAAAAGATAGTCGACAAAAAGGCAGCTGAAGTCACAGCTCAGTACGACATAGCTATGGCTGAACTTTCAGCAGTACTGCCTATTCTATAAGAAGCTGAAGCAGCCTTAGATACTCTAAACTCCAATGATATTACTGAAATTAAGAGTACCAAGAGTCCATCAAAGGGTATCCTGAACACTATGATTATCACCTGCATGCTTATTGAAAAGAACTCTGACTACAAGAAGATCACCTGGAAGAATTGCCAATCTATGATGAGTGGTTCATTCTTCTAGAACCTTAAAACATTCAAGAAGGACGATGTCCCACAGAAGGTTGTATAAGCTATGGATAAATTCTGCGCAGAGAACCCAGACTTCACTCCAGAGAATGTCAAGAATTCATCAAAAGCTTGCTACTCTCTCTGCAAATGGTGTTTAGCCATTCAGAACTATTCCAAAGTAGCCAAGGAAATCGAGCCTAAGAAAAGGATGGTCGAAGCTATGGATGCTGAATTGAAGAAGGCCTAGGCAGAACTTAACATCAAAGAGAGTAAGTTGAGAGACGAGATGAAAAAAGTTGAGGATTTGGAGAGAATGTACATTGAAGTCAAAGAAAAGAAGGACAGACTGGAAAATGAAATTGAACTCTGCAGATTGAGACTTGGAAGAGCCGAACAACTCACTAGTGGACTCGGAAGCGAACATGAGAGATGGTAGGAAAATGTAGCAATCTTAGACAGTAGAATCAGATAATTGGTCGGTGATGTCTTCGTGGCTGCTGCTTGTATTTCCTACTATGGTCCATTTACTGGAGTATTCAGAGAAAAGCTTGTTTAGAAATGGGTCGAGCAATGCCAAGAACTAGAAATTCCAGTTTCTGAAAAGTTCAACATGCCAGTTGTTATGGGTGACCCAATGGAGATCCAGAATTGGAACATGAATGGGCTACCCTCAGACTCTGTGTCAATCAGTAATGGTATTATCGTCAAGTACGGAACTCGTAAGCCACTTATGATTGATCCACAGTAATAAGCCACCAAGTGGATAAGAACTATGTACTCTGATGAAAACATCGCTAGTTCAAAAGATATTGGATAGCTTAAGATTACCAGAATGGGAGCCAAGGACATGATCAAAACAATGGAGCTGTGCATTAAGAATGGCTATCAACTGCTTATTGAGGATATGGGTGAGTACACTGAGCCAGCATTTGAACCCGTCCTTCTTAATTAAACCTTTAAGAGTCCACACGGAAGAGAACAAATTACCTTCGGAGATTCAACTATTGATTATGATCAGAGATTCAAGCTCTACATGACTACCAAAATGCCTAACCCTCATTACCTGCCAGAGATGTTCATCAGAGTTACAGTAATCAATTTTACTGTTACACAAGAGGGTCTTGAGTAATAACTACTCGCTGAGATTGTTAAGTTGGAGAACCCTGCCATTGAAATCAAGAAGTTAGAACTTACCAAAGCTATAGTCAAAGATCAGAAACGCATGAAGAAAATCGAAGATGATATATTGAATCAACTAGTTAATGCAAGTGATAATATCCTTGATGAAGAGGACCTCATCAATTTCTTGGAGAAATCCAAGGTCACCAGTGCTGAGATCAAGATTGCAATGGAGGAAAATGAGATTGCCCAAGTTGAAATAGAAGAGGCCAGACAGAAGTATCAAGTAGTAGCAGAGAGAGGTTCCATTCTATACTTCGTTATTGCTGACTTGGCCGGTATTGACCCTATGTATCAGTACTCTCTACTATATTTCCTAAGACTGCATAACTAAATTATAAGTTAAAGTGAAAAGAATGAGGATCAAGCAGAAAGAATAAAGATCTTAATTAGAGAGATCACATCTATCGTATATAATAACATCTGCAGAGGACTCTTTAATATGCATAAACTAATCTTCTCATTCATGATTGCTACGAGAATACTGCTACAGTCACAAGATATCTCAATGGCTGAGTGGAATCTATATCTTAAAGGTGTAATGATAGATGGAGATATAAAAAACATTAAAAATCCAGAGCCAAGTGAAATTAGTGAAAAGACTTGGAGATTCGTGCTAAACCTGGAAGGCTATAATGAAGCATTCTAAGGACTGCCAGAGAGCGTTGTTAAAGATTATAAACAATGGAAAGAATGGTTCACTTCCAAAGAGCCACATAATATGGCCCTTCCATGCCAATTAGAAGAGAAACTTTCCAGGTTCTAGAAACTATTGATATTCAAAGCATTTAGAGAGGATAAATTGGTATTCAAGATGAGAGAGTTCGTTGAACAAGAACTAGGACACTCTTTCGCTCATCCTCTACCAGTTATTATGGACGAGGTATTCAAGGACTCAGATAACAAGACACCAATCATCTATGTACTCTCACCAGGTGCTGAACCCACAGCATTGTTCTTGAGATTCGCCAGAAAGATCAAAGGTGATAGCTTGGATGCCTATCAGATCATTTCACTCGGTCAAGGTCAGGATAAGTTTGCCTTGGAATGCATCGAAAAAGGATGCAAGACAGGTACTTGGGTACTGTTATAGAACTGTCATTTGTACAAATCCTTCATGCCCAGATTGGAGAAGGAGGTGCTAGACATTAACGAGAACTCAGGCAGCATTCATTCAGAATTCAGATTGTTCTTAACCTCTATGCCTTGCAATTACTTCCCAGTGTCTGTTCTATAGAACGGCATCAAGATTACTAATGAGCCACCAAAAGGCATAAAATCAAATATCATTGGAAGCTTGACTCAATTAACTGAAGAGAAAATTTAAGGCTGCAAGAGAGATGTTGAATACAGAACTCTTCTGTTCTCAGTCTGCTTCTTCCATGCCGTTATTTAAGAGAGAAGAAAGTTCGGGCCCCTAGGATGGAATATTAGATACGAGTTTAATGAATCCGACTTTGAAACTGCAACTACCGTTATGAAAGGTATGCTGAATGAAGAATCTGATAGTATTGTCTGGCAGGCATTACAACAAGTTACAGGAGACATCGTCTATGGAGGAAGAGTTACTGATGATATCGACAGAAGAACACTGATGATGATCTTGACTACTTTCCTTTCAGAAGATGTCCTTTTACCAGACTATAAATACTCTCAAAGCGGTGTGTATACTCCAGTATCACCAGCGGAGACGCTCTTAGAAGATCTCATGAGAAAGGCTAAGTCATTGCCCGATGTCGACAACCCAGAGATCTTCGGAATGAATGACAATGCAGATATTGCTTTCCAACTCCAGGAATCTCTTAACATGATTGAAATCATTCTCTCAGTTCAGCCAAGAACCAGTGGATCATCAGGAGGCGGAAAGAACCCAGATTAAATCATTGAAGAACTAGCAATCAAGATTGAATCAGAACTTCCAGAGCTGATCACTAGAGACGGAGCTAACAAAGAATTGTTCCATGTCAACAAGGAAGGTCTACTGCCCTCACTTACCACTTTCTTACTACAAGAAATGGAGAGATTCAACATACTAGTGACTGTCATTGCAAAGTCACTTGATACACTCAAAAAGGCACTTAAAGGAGAAGCTGTGATGGGAGAAGATATTGACAGAATGTATAAGAGCATGCTAAACAACAAAGTGCCTGACATGTGGGCATTCCATGCTTACCCCTCTCTCAAACCACTCGCATCTTGGATTGAAAACCTTCAGCAAAGAATCGAATTCCTTAAGCTCTGGCTTCTCAAGGGTAAACTAGCAGCTTATTGGCTACCATCTTTCTTCTTCCCTCAAGGATTCCTGACAGCTTTACTCCAAAACTATGCTAGAAAGTACACAATTGCAATCGATGCCTTGAGTTTCGGTTTCTAATTCCAAACATTCTATAAACTAGAGGACGTGGATACTCACCCAGGTGACGGTGTATTCTTCTATGGATTCTTTATGGAAAGTGGCGAGATCAATTCTGATACCTTGCTACTTGAGGATGCAGGTCCAGGTCAAAAGTTCTCAGTCGTGCCAATGATTTAGTTCCGTCCTGAAAAAGATCACAAAGTAAACGATAAGGACTTCTTGTGTCCAATGTTCAAAACTACTGAAAGAGCTGGTACTCTATCAACAACTGGCCACTCCACAAATTTCGTTATCATGGTGGAGGTCCCTTCTAGAAAAGCTCCAAAACATTGGGTACTTAGAGGTAAGATTTTTTCAGTTTATAATTATTTCATTAGGTACTGCATTATTCTGTTAATTGGACGATTGATGAAGGATACAACTTAAAAATATTAATAAGTTAACCTTTCTTTATTAAATAACTATAATTCTATTTCACTATGATATCTTTTTATTCTAGATTTTAGGGGTTTTGGGGTTTTGGGGTTTTGGGG